CTCGCTGCTTCGATACACAATACGATCCTAAATGGATAAGGATAATGTATGTAAATTCAGGTGTAAAATTCAGATGTAAAATTAAGGTGTGAAATGTTCCAAACTTGTTGACAACTTGGGACAAGCAGTGCAAACACACTTTTTCACAGCTTGTGGCAGACTTGCTACAAGATGTGAGATTTTTGTGTGTTTATAGGTGAACCTACAAGTGTAAAAAACGCACAAGTTGCAACAAACTTGCAGCAGACTTGTAGCGATGCTCTTCCCACAACTTGTCAACAGGATGTGTTCGCACTGCTTGTTCCCAGCTTGTTGACAACTTGCTACAAGGTTTTTGAGCTCAACAGACTTGTTACAAGTTGTTTCAACAGATTTGCTATCGTCCTGCAATTCAACAATTTGTCAACAAGTTGTGAGTGACAAGTTAATGTATAGCAACTTGATAAAATGACAGCAATGTTACAACTTGTTGACAAGCTTGCAACAAGCCTGTTGCGAACACATCTTGTTGACAAGTTGTGAGATTTTTACATGTTTATTTTAAGTAGTTCATTGAAGTCATGTACCGTCCACGATGGGACCCGGACGCTTGAATAATGTCCCGGGTCATCAGGGTTGATATCAAATCTGTATGTTGGCGGGAAATTAATCTTCGCTTCTTCGAAATGTTCAAATACACCATCTGTACGAAACAATATAATTATAGATTTTTTATACACGACTATACGAAAAAAATCGAAACGTATTTGTTGATTCTCGTTCTTTCTTACTTTTCTTCATTAATTTGGTCATTTGATCCTTCGCAACCAATTCCTAAAGAAAAAAAGGTGGAAAAATTGTTCAAAATAACGACAAATACAGGACCAATTCCAGTCCTTTACAGGACGTCTCGGAAGAGGAGTTTTTAATGATCGTATCCAACCTCATAATTCGGGTCGTCATCTTCTTCGCATTGTGTGAGAAATTTCTCGACCACGCCATGTCGTTCTTCTACTCTGAAGTTAAAATCACCAAGCCAAAATACTTGATTGAACCTCGACGTCACGTCACTTGCTGGAACATCAAACAAACAAAACTAAGTAAGGCTTAATTTAAAAATGTTAGATGCGAAACCAGGTCTCATATTTTTCAAACGTTCACTGGTTAAAAATATTTATTTGGACGAGCTTTCGACTGCAGTCTGTAGTCTTCGACGAGTAGATTAAAGTGAATGATGTGATATTTACAGTGGTTTACAATTACAATATACTGACACAACATGCAAAAAAATGTAAACCACTGTAAATATCACAATTCATTCACTTTAATCTACCCGTCGAAGACTGCAGACTGGCAGTCGAAAGCTCGTCCAAATAAATATTTTTAACCAGTGAACGTTTGAAACTCTTAAAACTAAGGCTATTTGCAAGTATTAGCATTTGACCCGAATGGTTATAAGCTGAGTATGAGGCCATATACTTTTAATAGAATGGTTAGTAAAAAGTTTTTAAACCTAAATTACAGTTAGTCCAAAAGTTAACCAATCGGAATCTTCAATGTTAAAGGGCATATGACTCGAAAATTGACGGTATTATTTTTTATCATGATTGAAAACTGTAGAGTAACTTCTGTGACAGATTTTTGTTTTCTTGCTTCGTTTTGGAGATATTTCATTTTGTATGATATGCAAAGGACTAACTTTCTATGTCACACATGTATAATGACTTACTTTAAAATGTTACTGTATAAATAATTTTGTCACTATCAAATACATTCGCACAAAATGAATGATGAGCACGAGATTTGTCCACAACAACACCCATACAGGTTTTCTACTGACTGGTTTTCTACTGGCTAAATCAATTTATGCATATGTGACGTAGGAAGTTGGTCCTTTGCATATCATACAAATGAAATATCTTCAAAATGAAGCAAGAAAACAGTTTTCAATGATCTTTCAAATTAGACTAAAAAATAACACCATCAATTTTCGAGTCATATGCCATTTAACTAGACCATTTATAAACTACTAGTTAAAATAGTCACAGGTAAGAGACTTATACAACCGGCCCAAGGGCTTTAAACAAACTAGGGCTTACCGTGATTTGCTGGTTCTGGATAGTTCAAAGGAAGGGATAAGGTCTTTCTTATCAAGCAGTAGTCACCGATTCGTTCTTTGCATTTTTGTTCATGAGCTAAAATATTTGATGGCAAAAATAATAAAAATAGGTACACGACACATACATGAACAGAATTAACTGAGGAACAGAATTTACTAACCAGTAAAATGGGAGTTGATGAATAAAAATGATGTTCCAAAAATTGACAATGACAAGCCAATTGCACCCTGGAAAAGATAGAACAAATTGTTCAACTTTCTTGATGGTATTACAACACTATCCATCCAGTGCCCTACTTTATTATTTTACTCTTTCTAATGCCAGACAATTTTACTTGTCAATTGGTTAAAACCCACCTTGGTTTTAATCATATGACCAGGTCTAGTTGCAACTGTTGCTTGTTCCACACCTAAATAAATAAATAATTTAAAAACTTTAGTGTACGTTGAAAACAAACATTTGAATATACAAGAAAAAGGATGGTTACCTGAACAAAACCAGACTAGCTCTCGACGCAAGTACATGGCAAGATGAAGCACACCAAATTGACATGAGTAGATAAGAACGTGTGATGGCCCCAATGCTTCTTGGAGTTTGATCTCCCATTCTTTTCTACAATGTGTACAAACCGAGATTGACAGATGTACATAACAGGACAGGTGAGCTGCACTAACTACACTGTCGCATAAAAATTATGAGCCCCGCTGTTTAACAGGACTGAACAATGTTGTGCGGCCCACATTGTTCACACTTGTCAACAATATTGAACAATATTGTTGAGCCTGAATCGGGTGTAACAATATTATTCAACATTGTTGACAACTGTGAACAATGTGGGCCGCACAACATTGTTCAATCCTGTTTTCATCAATATTGCAAAAACCTGATCGTTTTTAGCTGTGTAGGTCAGCTTGTAACCAAGCAACTTTTTTGTCAACACTGACGTCAGTTTGTGGTAATCTTCAACACATCAGAAAACATAAATTTTAAGTTCTTTTATTTCTTGCACGAGCACTACGATGTAATGCCACCAAAATTAGTTAATATACAATTTTTCGGGTGACGTCCATATTGGCAAAAACATTGCTACAGAACTATCACTCAATCTGGCTACATCAATTCACTGTTTACCTCTGTGGAGTGCTTTCCTGCGATCCTATGACATATAAATCCTGCATGAACTTACAACATTCGGGAAGCAAAAAGTCGTCGACAAATACTGGCAATTGCTATAGAAATTTGATGGATTAAGAAGAGTTTAAAATGAAGTAAGAAATTATGGATATTCATATTCAAGCAGAAAAAGAAGCATCATCAACTCATATTATGGCAAACCAACCTTCTCTCCGTGCATATTCCAAGTTCCAACAAAAACCATCAACTTTCGTTCTGGCAAATACTTCTCTAACTCTTCCTTAACAAAGTTCGAGTTACGATCCCTTGCCCTGTCAGCAGGCACTCTGGGAAGTAAGGTTACAACTTTTGCCTTGTCCCAAAATGCTTTGTTACTTTGATGATTGCCGGCCCGTCCTCTGCGGATCGCCTCGGTATCCGAGTGTCTGTCGACTTGTTGTGGGTAGTCTCTAACTGAGTTCAATGATAGGCTGCTCCTATGATGATGGCGGTGATGCGCAGGGGGCGTGTCGCAAGGCGCTTTGTGGGACAGCTGTGTATTTGGAATATTTGTATCATTAACAGGACTTATTTGGCTGTCACTATCAATGTCTGAACTCGAGTCATTACTGCTAACGCTCGTTAAGGTATTTTCCGATTTATCGTCTACATCGTTACCTTCATTATTGGTGATATTATTTGGCCTAGTTGGATTGCCTGAATCTAAGTTATTGACCACTTTACCTGTGTTTGTCCGCCCATTTGTATCGTCCAACCCAGAAACCCTCTCAATAGGATTATAAGGCTTTAAAGGCCCTCTTTCCCTAAGTTCATGCTTACCCCTTTCCAACGATTGTTTGGCCTTAAAATTATCTACTACTTTCTGGTTGTCTTTAATAGGGGAGAGCGGTTTCAAGTTTAATGTAAGGGGATTTACATGTCCAAAATTTTTATCGACGGGTCTATTTATGCCTGCACGATCAATGGTTTCACTGTTTTGTCTGGCTTCAAAATCATTGCCTATACTTTTGGATAAGGGGGGTAATTTTGAGCCAGTAGTCCTATGATCTAATCCTTCAGGATTAGTATAAAGCTTTTCGTCCTCAGAGCTCTCTGATTTCAAGTCAACTCGATTTGAACGTCTGGAAAATCGCTTCTTGTTTTTATTCCTTCGTGGGCCTTTTTTATTGGAATCCTTCGGCTTTTCTGGTGGATGAGGAGTAAAATAAGCCCCTTTTAAATTTTCAGTACTGTTCTCATCTGTACTTTTTACCGATTTGTCCAGCATTTCAGCGTTGACTCCAACAGGCATACTTTGATCAAATTTTGTACCCTGCAGTGAGTCCAGACTTTCGCCAAAAACTTGCTTTGTAATAGCGCCTTGTACTTTTTCGCTCATTTATAGAACACTCAGATAAAGCCATTTTAAGATTATCTTGGTTTTACAGCAATCCATTCAACAACGAGCGAGAAAAACGAGTTTAAAGAGCACCATTGTTAAATTGTCTTGTACGAGCGAATCGCCATGTTCGTTTCCATAGAAATTATAAATAGCAACCTCATTAGTATTCATGTTTGAGTTAATTTTTGAATGTCGGTATTAAAAGGAGGATTTTTAAAATATTTATCTTTTAATAACAGAAACATTCAAATTGTAAAACGACATTTTGAAAGTGTTTGTTCGTATAATATTGGTGCATTTATAATTTTACTTTAGCCTAAAAATAAATTAGGAAAAAATACTATATTATAAATATTTATATAAAAAGTTTATAATATTGTTAAAAATTAATAACAGAGCTTCCACTTTCAAAATGCATTTCCAAAATTAGTATATGTGTTTTTCAGTGCAATAAAAATGAATTTATCTATTATTCCTTCGGAAATTAAATACTGTACAAGGACACTCATTAATATTTATTTCTCTGCGTTCATAAACAAGTTCTTGCTTCGCTAATAAAAGAAATTTATAATTTATTAAAATTTCTGAAGTACAGAAAGTTTCCTATGCATTGTCAATGTGGAAGTTCAAGAAACCCTAAAAATCGGGCATAGAGCTGTAGGCATATACTTTTCTGCAGGCAAAGATGAGTTGAATATATATTTTATATCAGGCCATAGTGATTTTATATACAATATTATAATATCAGCAAATATGGAATAAATATTATTAACATCTCCCAAATATTAAACTGATACAGTTATACACAACTGCAACGAGAAATAGGTGACGATGGGGTTTCCAGTTATACCACGGCATTCCACTACCTTAATGTTAGCAGTCCGCACTCAACTGACCAATCAGCAATCAGTACCATCTGTTGGATACAAACTGTTGATGTTACAACGTAGCTCTAAAATGAAGTTTATGGTGAGAGCAATGGCTTTTATACTGTCTGCGCATGTATTTCGGATTATTTGGCAGATAATTTGATTTGACTTCTTGTTTAGCCAAACAGATATGTCTTTCCTGGGGGAGTAAGCGAGAATACAGATTTCTCACCCGATTGGTTGGATCTGATCAGCCACAAAGCACTACCATTAAAACCAACAATGACCACAGCACCGTTCTATGAATCATATGCCAACCAACTACCGCAAAACAGTCTGCCAGCACACATTGGTTTTAGGATTTGTGCCATCCGAGAAACGTTTGAGGAGTCCGGTGTGCTGTTGGTGAGATTGTTAAAGGATGGTAATAATGCTGGTAGCTTGTCTATTAGGAAGGTGTTGAGTGATGATGAGGTTAAATCCTGGAGGGGAAAAGTCCATTCCAATGCGTCAATGTTCATGCAGCTATGCAGGTCTAGTTGCTTCACTTGATTTAGTGACGGATTACTTCTACAAGGTTTAACCCATTGAGTGTTAGCACTCTCCTCTTGTCGAGTAAAATAATCTGGTGTTAGATAGAGTAAATGCAAAGTGGCATAGCCATGTAGTCCAGCCGGGGGGAAATTCTTCTATTTTTAGCGTCTACCAAATGCTATTTCATGCACTTTTATAGACACATTTTATGATAATCTGAAATTTGTATTTGGTACAATTTTTTTGTAGTAGATGAATGCATTACAAGGTCACCCCCCTCCCCAGTTTCTCCCAGCTCTGAAAGAATTACAAAATTTGTCCTGAAGAAAAGTGGGGGGGCAGACCCCCACCCCTCTCTGTCCACGCCTCTGTCCATGCATCTGCAGACCACCTGGCTTACTGTACAAACCCCTTACATGTTCAGTGAGTTAAATAATTGTTTGTAGACATATCCAATGTGTTCCTGATATATGGTCTCTGTACGAGTGGTCCAATTGGATTACGCCAGCACACGATTGTAGACGACGGTTCAACACCATGTTCTACCTCGCATTCCTAGATAGTGAACCAGAAATGAGCCATGATGGAGCAGAGGTTGTCAGCTCTACAGTAAGTTCTTTACCTAGACAAAAAGATACATATAGGTCAGGATTTACTAATTTGCACTACAGTGCTGATCATGCTTATTAATTTAACTTGCAGTTTAATTTAATATCCGAGTGAGAAAATAATTTTTCATTATATGTAGTTTTTCTAATATTTGGTATGTGGCACGAAATTACAATTTGTTAATATTAATTAACCCATTGAATGGCTGTACTTTGCCTTTCACAAATTCCTGCATTAGACAGAGCAAAATACTAAAGTGGGTGCATTAGGGCACATTGCCACTTAAAGGGTTAATTTTCCTGCTGCAAACTATAAATATCGAGTATTTCAGAGGTTGACCATCATTTGTTGAAATGTTCATATCTTTATTTCTAGTGGATGAATCCCGCGGATGCTCTCGACCTTCGTTTGACAAACATGCTCAACATTGCTCCTCCACAGTTTTACGAAATGTGCAGATTATGCAGGTATGCCATAACCTGAGTATCAGGCTCTATTTTACAAATAGAGCCTGACACAAAACTTAACCTGATCGCTTTCCGCCCACAGCAAAGTTTATATTTAGTATCCAATCAAAATGTCGCAGGAGAAATTTAAATTTCACACAACGACAACAACAATCTAATTATAGCATAGGCAGCCCACTAAACGGTTGAATTTAAATTAAAACTGCAATGAACTTATAAAATTAACAAAAATAATCACAAATTAGCGAAATATATTGCAAATGTAGCTTATATTAAATCGCCGCCCGATTGCTCTCTCCTCCGCAGAGGTTTCAGTGACTAACAATGAGCTTTACATGGCGCTTGCCGTATTTATCAACAAACTGACGTATAATTATAAAGTATACTTTATAACTATACGTCAGTCGATAGTGCAATCTGATGGCGATTTAATATAAGCTACATTTGCAATATATTTCGCTAATTTGCGATTATTTTCTAATTTTACTGCAGTTTTAATTTAAATTCAGCCGTTTAGTGGGCCGGCTATAATTGTAGTTGTGAATTGTGATCGTTATAAAATATATCAACAACAATAGTATAATCTAATTAGCACCAGCCAATCAAATGACAGATTTAAAAATCGTTTGTCTAATCGGCCAATCAGCGCTCAGTCCAGATTCTGGACTGAACAACCAGGCAAAATGCCACTTTTGTGTCAGGCCGTACTTTTCTCCCCTTCGCCCACGATCAGGCGTGCCTGTGCCCTAAAAAGTACGGCCTGATACTCAGGTTAGGTATGCCACTTTTGATAAACTGCTACAAGGTGGTTTGTGTCTGAACTGGCCTAAAAAAGATTAAAAATTACTCTTCGGGAATTAATTAGCACTGCTGCTCACAGGCTTTAAATGCATTTGATTGGTTAATTGGGTTGAATAAATGCAACTGATTGGCTAATGGTAACAGCAGACATGCCAACTCTCCCGATTTTTCTGGAAAACTCCCGTTTTTATAGCTCGTTTTCATCTCCTGCACGATTTTGAATATTATCGTAAAACTCCCGACTTTATCTTCAGTTCAACAACTTCAACAATACATAATATTTTCATCAATCATTGCACTTTTTTCACTTTTTCTTCTTCATATAAATTCATCTGAGTTAACAACATATTCGAATCAATAGTCTAAAATTTGAAATAAAAATGAAAAAACTAATTTCTTCAATTATTTTCGAAAATTTTTCTCAGGCAATCAAAATAAAAACTGCTTAAAATTCAAAATCAGCGCAAAGATGGAAGACCGCTTAAAATTCAAAATCAGCGCAGGGATCTTGGCCTGCGCCACTAAGGTCATTGTCAGACCATACTTCCAAATCTCCCTCTTTGCTTACTCCCAAAGTTGGCATGTCTGTTAAACAGTGGTAAAAAATTGAACCTCAGTCTATTACTGACATGCAAGTTTGTAGTACTTCTTACCTTCTGATGTTCAGGGGCCTTTGCTTGAAACATCAAACTGTTTTTGTCCAGACACAAACCGCAGCAACCTGGTAGTAATCTTTAAAGTACAATGAATCCACAGTTCTGATGTTTCTTGTGATCTCTGTAGGTTTTCAACAGTTGATGACCTAAAGTCATTTGTGATGTCACTTGAGGGAGTGGTTGCCACAGAAACAGTTGCAATCGAAAGCAGTGACGGAGATGATGTTGTAAGTACTCAATGCTGTCAGTAGATGGCAGATACTGATAGCATATACTGCACTTTACTGCTGAGTTGAATGACCTTCTAATTTTTCTGGCAAAAAATTTTACTTTAGTAGTAAATTGCAAGCATCGTGGTACTTTAACTTTCTCCAAATTGTTGAACATTTCCCTCCACCACAGAATGGCCCGTAAATACATTAATTTACTACCTTTTATGTTCTGATTTTAGTATTTCTATCCTGGAGATGACTTGTACGAAGAAATAAAACGGGATACTTACAAGCACTATGAAAACATAGTCGACACAATACCAGCAAAAGACTTAAAACGCCGATTACCGTTATTGAAAGTGCCACAAAGCACCCAAGCTTTATTAGTGGAAACGAAAGACACCACAAATCGATTGGCAATCAATTTTAAAACCTCATTTTACAGAATGAATTGTACGGCAAAGCTGAAGTACAATATGCCAACACCGCTTACACCTTACACAGCGAAATTATAGGCTGTATATAATTATATACATTATTGGCAATTAATTTTAGTGGACAATTTTAAAGTTGTGATTTATTTGTATTCTTGCTTTGATGTAAAGACAAAATTAAGTTATTTCTCAATGTTGTAGTGTACAAGTTACTTAATTTAATTAACATGGCCAGGAAACAATGTTTCTTGGTTTATCCACCTTTGGGAAACATGGTTAGGAAACAATTAATGTTTTCTGATATGACCGCCTTTAAAGCCACAAGGATATAGGAAACAATGTTCCCTGGTTTGTCCACCTTTGGGAGCATTGCTAGGAATCAATGATTCCTGGTTTGCCCACCTTTGGGGAGAGATGGTTATAGGAAACAATGTTCCCTGGTTTGCTCACTTTCGGGAAATATGGCTAGGAAATAACACTTCCTGGCTTGCCAACTTTCGGGAAACATGGCCAGTTTGGGCAAGGCAGACATTGTTTCCTAGGCCCATGTACTTTACGTTGTACGTACCAAGTACATATTACATAACACCTGAGTCCCTATTATATCCATACATGTCTCCTACCCTTCCATAACCCTCCATAGTTTAACAGTGCCATCATCTGAAGTAGAAGCAAGAATGCTTTGTGTTGGATGCCATGATATACTGTTTACATCTTGTTCATGAGCTTTTTCACGTTTCGCCACCAAGTTAAATATTGGTTGATTGTCATCTGTCACATTTGGATCCTACAAACATAAGTATAAGTGGCTTTCACTAAACACTATTGTGCAGCAAATGATGCTCAATCTTACTGTACATGCTGCCCAGATAATGCTTACTGAAACTAGTGGTAAATAACTATGGATTTTGTTGTTGCTTGACATACTTTTTCAAATATATGAATGGAATCATCACCGGATGCTGTAGCAATTAATGTTCTTGAACCTTTGGACCTGAAAAAAATTGAGAGATTGGACAAAATGATGAAGGTCATTGTGATCAGTGTGCAACAAGCTCAGCAAAAGTCTAGTTACAATGTTGGGGTCAATTGTGATGCAAGTCTTGTTCCTTTCCTCAGTCACACTTTGTCTTGTGCTTCTGTTTATTGTAGATGCACAGTATGTGTAATGATTGTATAATTGTGACAAATGATTAAATTAGATTATTAAATTAAAAAGTCTTCATTTCCATAGAACTCAACAGAGGCTTGGATTGAATAAGCCTAGAATTGTTTGCAAAGTTTTTAAAAAATGAGAACATATACTGTACCAATGAACGTCATAGATTGTCCTACGATGATAACCACTCAGTGTGCAAACACATTTCCACTTCGGGTCAGATCCGTTTGTTACTATGCCTAGTATATGAAAATATATGCCTAATTAATAAAATTTATCAAAAATAAAATTAGTCAAACTTTTTGTCTTGCATATAAAGAATTTCTTTGTATAAAAGGCATGTCTTTGTTTTGAGGTCATGTTTGTTTTAAATTTCTAAATCTGTCTACAAATATCTTGGCCACCTGAACAATAATTAAACCTGCAATATCTCAGGGATCCGATGTGCCAGAAAAGCCTAGCTACAATTTGTTTTCCTGTATATTTCACATTTTTGACTTAGTCATTCGATTTACCTTCTTGATTGTTTGGCAGATATGATTTCCAAATTTTACATGTTTTATCATCACTGCAAGAAACTGAAGATAGGAAAATTTTACCACCAGTGAAAAAAATCATTTGTCAATGATTAATTTGGAGAGATATTACAAATTTTGCAAAAAATACAAAAAATTTTTTTGTCACCTAAGAAATTGCCTGTTCTATCAAAACTGATTCCCCAAACTGTAGATTGGTGACCTTCCAACGTATCAAAACACACCCTGTGAGAAATGAATCAATTGAATAAATTCAACCAACCCATTGAATTCAACAGTTATAATATACCGTACCAGTCGTCATCATCTTCTTTGTAAATTTTTATTGTATCATCATAACTGCATGATGCCAAAATCTAAAAAAATATCACACAAGGTTTACCAGCATGACTAGTAGGTCACCTTTAATTGTTGAAAACCAAGTCTACAATACTTAATATATAATTATGCAGGCAAAAATGAATCGTCCAGCATATATTTCAACACTGCCGTAGTACCGGTATTTTTCCTACATTGAATTAATCTTCAAATACCTCTCGCTCTGGATGCCACTGTACTCGTTTCACATCCTGTGTGTGAGAATTTAAAACACTTGCACATTCGTACTCTTCGCCATCTTCTTGAACTGAAAACAAACACTAAATTACTCTAAAATTTACTAGGCATCTTGCTTGACTTCAGGATCCCATCCCAAGTTCTCATTTTTTCCAAACCAACCTTCCCAAATCCAGACACTCTTGTCTCTACCACACGTAGCCAACAATTGCCCAGATCGACACCATGATACAGACTTCACTTCATTCTCATGTCCTTCCAATGTTGCAATACACTCAAATTCTGTCAAAATTGATAAATTGACATGTCATATATAAACAACTTTCAAATTTTTTTCTCTGAGTGACTCCACATTAGCTGTGGGAATGAAACCAGTGACTTTGGCTTGCCAGTCCAATTTTCTATGAGTCGGTGATCTGTGTACATGCTGTTGTACAAACTTATACCATTACTGCCTGTATTCAACCTCTCCTTACTTTGGGAAACAATTGTGAGGTGAGTAGATAATTATATATAGCATAATTTAATTAATACACTGATTGTTGCCTTGGCTCATAGCAGTGTTTTTGACACAAACTAAACTTGACAAACTATCTGCCTATATCTAAAATACTGAACTACTGACAGCAATTACTGTAATCCATAGAGGCAAGTGCTGTAGTATTACCGTCATCTTTTTTGCTCCAAATACAGGTCGTAGCATCAAAACTTGCTGACGAGATATAATTCCCACATGGAGACCAACTGACTAAAAAATAGTTATTTCTTTTTGTGAATATAATTGATATTTTAAAATAAATAAATTGTGAACACATTGATTTGATTGGTCACCTGATCTTATGGTCCGTTCATGTGCGTCAGCCAGAACGGTTTTACAGATCCATTTCCCATCTTCCTTACCCCATAGCCTGATGTGTATGAATGAAAATTATTGATGGTTTATTACTAGTTTATAATTAATTACACTTACAAAAAACAATTCATGTATTTAATGCAATTTTCTAATATGCAATGAACTGATGACCATGCCTTATTTTCTTGTCGGCACTACAGCTGGCTAAGAGTGTTCCAGAAGGATTCCAAGCCACACACCACACAGCACCATCATGACCTGCAGAAGGACCAGGTACACATTCAATGCAAAAAAATAAACTAAAATTATTTTTTTTCTACTTTTCTGTCAGTTCCAAACTGTTCTTCCTCACAACTACATATTGTCACAGAGGTGAATGCACATTAATTAAATAACCACCGACACTGATTAAAGTAACAAAATGGAACACATTGCAACTTAATAGGTTAATAACTGCAAACTAAATATTAACATATTTCCACTAAAATACTCAAACCAATAATTTGAGAACTGCCTTATAAATATTAAATCATTACAAATTGTCAAATAAAAGCAAATCTAACCTTTTAAACTTGCAATATTCTCTAAAACTTCCAAAACTTTGGCCATATTTTGATCAGCATGCTGCACGGCGAGCTTCTATTAGGAGACTAGGACCAAGTTCTTCTTCAATTCAAAATTTCCTTCCGGTGAAAAATTTTAGGAAAATTTTATAATGGAAAATTTTTTATTTGAAATAGTGAAATTTGAATTATTTTCAGAAGATTATTAGTGTAAAAGTGTTAAATGCATTAACAATGCCACTATTAAACGAACTATGAAATGTGCCTAAAAGATAAATTATCATATTCTATTTTTTCAACTTTTGAATCTTTTTGAAAATTAGGAAATGTCGGAAATGTTCCAACTTAAATTTTAAGCCATAGGCGAGAAAATTGCAGAAATGAAAAAATGTTAACAATTTCACATTAAATTAAGCGAAGCGTTCTCACTATAAATGGGATAAACTATAAATATTTGGAAAAAATAAAGCGAATTATTGTAAATAGTTGAAATTATCAATACAAAATATAAATTTATTATAAAGAAACGTTGTCTGGAGGTGGAAACACCGGAAACCAACCGCCTCAAAATGACGCAATCTGTTACGTCAGAGCAATCAGACTGGAAAAGTTTAAAGTTTTTTCAAGTCGTGAATAAAAGGTGGGTTTTTAATATTAAAATTTTCACTGATTTTTAAAGAAAAATTAAATAGTATTCAGTAGAATAGTAGAACAGATAAAGGAGAATATCTCTATTTTTTCTTGGCGTCTGAAACGTCTTGGATTTTACAAAAATCCGGCAACGAAAGGACCCATCTCAGACGCGTTCACACGTGTAGGCTGGGCAAATGACATTGAATGGTGTTTGAAATATACATCTGCGAATCTCTGGGGAATTCTCCAACCAGAGATTTGTAAAATACTTGAAATTTGATTGGCTTATGTAGTGTTTATTTCGTGATAATTGTGATTTTTTTGATAACCAGACATGCACATTCAAATTTCTAATAAAATTTTCGGTTGCGAAACGCCGGGGCTTACAAAATATTTAGTATTCGCTTTTTGAATGTCAATATTAATATTTAATTTAATTTACAGTACACAGAAATGAGTATTTTGGGCATAAAATGATGAGATCTGGAAATTGTGATTTTATTTTTTCATCCAATTTAGGGAGCAAATATTTTGATTGTATCGAGTTTCCTGAAAAAGCGAATGTTGGATAATAATTAACAGTTTACTTTAGCTTTTGTTTGTGCCCCAGGGAACATAGTTCTCTGACAGTTAGTATATTGTAGCTTGGAAATTTTACGTGTTACTGTGCTGGAGTAATCGGTGAATACATACACCATTAAAAAACTATATATTGAATTACATGTATAAAAGTTCTGAGTCCTAACAGGAATTGATGGTTAGAACGTCTCTCTGTCCAGTTATCGGAAAGGTTACATGATTCGATTCCTGTTAGGGCTCAGAATTTTTCTTGTATAAGGCTTGATACACACCTACACTAAATATCACATTGAATTACATGCCATCAAAAACATTTATTAGAATGTTACGGTTAGTAATCCCAGGTTGAACCTGGTTTCGGTTGAACTTGACTTTGCAGTCGGTATAATTATCTACCAAAAAACACATACAGTACTGGAAAAATCTTATACACCTTGTACATTCATCCGACACTGGATCCCAATCCAATACAGTATTACGAATGCACTAAACCCAGCATTATTATGAATGCATTTTTTATTTACGTTTTTGCGGACAATAAAATGTTTCCTGAATCTTTCCTGCACCCTGGCCGAACCCTAACCAGCCCGCATCCTAACTATTCTGGCCATCTGTATGGGGCCATTCCATTTAATAAACACACACCCCTATGGACGAGGTCAATAAAATTTGAACCCCAAAGAAAAAAAGATCAAAGTGCTGACACAAACACCCCACCAGAAATTAATAAATTTTTGCCTTACCCCTCAGAAAAAATGCAAAGATCAAAGGATGCCGATGCACACAACCCTTCAGAAATGTTTTTTTCAAACCCCCTCAGAAATTCTCGTCCATAGGGGGGGGGGGGGGTGCATTAAATGGAATGGCCCATGCAGGAGGAATAACACATACAATGTCATACGCCTGAAGTACCACTCCTGGATTCGAACCGGGCAATAGCACGTGCAAGGCAAGTGCCTTAACCACTTGACTACTGAGGAATTGCTTGAAATTAACTAAAATATATTTGGTATCTTCTCAGTATGTTTAAAGAAAGAGATAGAAACTTTTGTAACCGCTGCAAATCTTATATCAACATAATCTTACAACCACTGCAAATCTTACTTTATCAGCGATATATTTGGTCATGGGTAAGGATAAAGAAGAAAATATACCAGCGGGAAATGCAGAGAAAGGTGCCAAAGTATTTAAACAAAAATGTGCTCAATGTCATACTGTAAATAAGGTGAGCTTATAGACAAAGATTAACAAATTGTATTTGGATAGCTCCATCAGTTTTAAAATGTTCTTCCCAGAGGTTTGGTAAGTGCCATCCTGTATTGATACAGTGTTCCTACAGACGAAAACCAGAATGTTTGAAAAATACATGAAATGTTTGGTAGAGTCAAACTGGAAGCACTCTTTTCACATGCAACTGAGGCAAAATTATAATCAAACAACTGTATATTGCAACCTCGTTCTCAGGCTCTTACTCAAGAGGGAAGAGCCTCGGAACGAGGTTGCTGTATATTGCTGGAATTGAACTTTATTTCTGACGTGAAAGGCACACACACTAAATACTGTATTTTCTTCCTCAGGGTGGATCACATAAGACCGGCCCGAATCTTTATGGCCTCTTTGGACGTAAAACTGGTCAAGCACTAAACTTCTCATACACTCAAGCCAATCAAAATAAGGGCATAACCTGGGGAAGAGATACGTTATGGATATACTTACAAGATCCTAAGAAATATATCCCAGGTAATGTTGATTTTATCGTTGGAAAACAAGAGCATAAATGTAAATTATTAAACCTTAACCTGCAATGTGCTCTGATGCACCCTATTCTCTAACTCAAAACAATTTTACTCATCAAGGGGAGAAAGTAAAGTTGTCTGGTGTAAGGTGTTAATTGTATGTTTTTTATGTATTCATGATATTTTAAAATTTATGTTTGCGATGTTACTCTGAGTGCATATCCACACCGGGCGAGCTTGAAAAATATGCCCGGCCACGGTGGGATTCGAACTTACGACCTTTGGAATACTAGCCCAATGCTAGCAAATTCATATTACTAGAACACATTGGTATTGAAGGAACTAGATACTGGTCCGAAATATCACTTACTCGAACCGTCCTGACCGCGTAGCTCAGTTGGAAGAGCATTGGGCTAGTATTCCAAAGGTCGTAGGTTCGAATCCCACCGTGGCCGGGCATATTTTTCAAGCTCGCCCGGTGTGGATATGCACTCAGAGTAACATCGCAAACATATTATTCACTTGAGTACACAACACCAACGCAGAAAAAAAAAATTCATTTTAAAATTTGTCTACATTTAGGAACCAAAATGGTATTTGCTGGTATAAAAAAGAAGGCAGAACGTGCAGGTAAGGATTGAATTACTGGGTTATTCTAACTCCTTGTACAAGCGAAACAAACTATGTATTGTGTATATCCCTGTCCCTGCCGTGATTGGGACCCTTTTTAAGTTCCGAGGCTCAGCAAGCATTCCCCTTAGGACCAGAGATAGCTTAATGCTTTACCATGCGGATTTTATCCTGTGTTTACACAAGACTTTTGAGGCAGACTGGTCGCCAAAATAAACCACTGGTCTCACCACTATAAATAGTATAATAACTAGAATACATTTTCTCACAAACCTGAAATTTACCCTTACACGAGCAACTTTCACGGTTCTAATCCACAGAATCGTTGGATGCCAAACTCGGCTACCCGAGCTGGCTCACTCCATCTAAACAACAGCTCTTAGAACCTCTCTGACGACAAATTTATTTTCCAGATTTAATTGCGTACTTGGAAAAAGAAACTACTATACCAGCAAATTAACAAGCATTGATTGTGTGCTGAAATCTTCAAAATAACTACCGAACTAACTTAAGCCTAGTGCAAGTAATATTGGTTAAGTAAAGACATTATTTTTTAATTAAACTATTTACAGTATTAGAAATTTTATTTCTAAGTGTTTAAAAATTGTCACAATAAATTTTCTCTTTTGCACTTAACCAAAACATTTTCATTGTGTGTAATAACTTTGCTGGCAAAATATATGAATAAAGATTATCGCTTTATAAAGTTTGTGATTTTGTTTTTATTTTAAAGTGTTTGCAGCTAGTGGCAAAGTACAATTAGCTATCATTCAAGTGCTCTTAGAAATTGTTGCTGTGGCAGTTCCCCTCCACAACCGGCAGGTGTTACAAGTTCAACATGAACACACACAATAACTGTAAAAAATCACCTTTATTCAATTTCTCTATCACTAAAATATTCACCATTAATAATATATAATTTCACAATCAACTATTTGGCTATAAAAAGATATTGATTTTGTCATAATTAAATTGAATTCTTCATTTATAATACGAACAATAAAGTAAACATCTTCTATTTTCCCACAGCAAATATTTTCCAAATTTGCGATGTATAATCTATTCACATCTAATGATTACATCTGGTTGGCTATTCTGGACCAACCTGTAAAACAAAAGAAATTATATTGTCTTACTACAATCTTCGTGTGATCTTTTGAGGAATGTCTTTCAAAAATACAACATTTACTAATGCCCTCAATGGGTTAGCCTGCGTGGCAAATGGTCAGCCCATCGTGGAACACCTAAAAACGGGTGAGACAAAGGAGGTGAAAGACCATCTGCTGGGTTTGGCTTTGTATTTGAATTACCTGTCCATTAGTGGACGGGAATTGATGATTGGCTGTACTATTTTTGCCGCTGTCAATCAAGAGGAAATATGTGTTAATAATACTTAATTGGAAATTAAACTAAAGCATCTAATTCTAGTTTGAGATGCCAACTATTGATTCTTAAACACTCAGGAGAGGTCATGGTTTGAGCATTGCTTGTTGGAAAACACGTTTCAATTCTTTTGACCAGGATGTTTGATGTCACTACCGTTAAGTGTTTGATTTGAATGAGCAGTTACAATATATCTCAAGTTTGGACTTCCTTCAATATGATAACTCTACAATAACACCTATTAATTGTTACCTGTGACTGTACATTATTTCCAACCATAGATACGGGTGGATATTCACCATGTACACCATTCATCTGCAAACCACTGATCATGACATCACTGTGTCGTGATGGGCTCATCATTTGACCCTGCGATACTTGAATCATAGTGGGTGTGGTCTGACTCATATGGCCATATCCTATGTAATAACAGAGAGCATTAGAATTAACTACGAGGTTGGCTAGATGCACAAGGAACCAATTGATCAGTCAGCTAGTTCACAACTGACACACCAAGCAGTGTATCTATTGAACGGCAGACTGAGCAACACACTGACTTGAAAGACTGATAGATTTCTGGACTGCCTGCTTGACCCACTTAACAGAAACCACAACCCCTACCTTGTTCACTCGGTGAGGTAGGATCGCCAGACGGCATACTCTGGGCAGCTGCTTGAGCTTTAGCTGTGTACAAACTGGCTTCTTCTTGAGCCTTGCCAATGTTCTTCTTATATCGGATACGTTTGTTGCCAAACCAATTGGAAACCTATTATAAAGTTTGATTCCATCAGTGCCATTATTGACTGACATACACTTCAAAAATAAATTGGTTGCTAACATCTAGACAAATAGCCTTCACTCGAAACAGTGTTGATAGTTGCAGTCTAGTCCATACCTGTGAAACAGTGATATTACATTTTCTTGCAAGCTCTTCCTTTGCTTCTTCACTTGGGTATGGGTTACTCAAGTGAGAATAAAAATATTCATTGAGAACTTCTGTTGCTTGTTTACTGAAATTCCGTCTTTTCCTCCTAAACCAAACATTTTCAAATTATTAGCTTTTATATACAATGTACCATTGCTATCACTTGCATCTAAGGAGTTATTGAATTAACAGGAACAGTATTAAGTACAATTGTTTAGTTTTGTACACAATATATTTATTGAACATGCATACTTTTTTGCTAAATAAAGATACACAGCATTTCCACAAAACATTTACAATTATAAATTTTTGGGGTTTTTTTTGGGCTAGTATTCCAAAGGTCGTAGGTTCGAATCCCACCGTGGCCGGGCATATTTTTCAAGCTCGCCCGGTGTGGATATGCACTCAGAGTAACATCGCAAACATATTTACTTATAGTTGTTTCACCACAGAACAGTCAAGGAAGTATTAAAATAACCAATTTTAAATTTATCATGCATTAAACATCTGGATTATACCCTCACCTTGCATCAAGAAAACGAGACCTCAATATCATGACCGCCTCGCATGTGCTCTGTTTCAACTGCATTTGAATTGCACTGAATTTCCTGTGAATAATATTGACCATTCTGTCTATCTCCTTGGGAGTTATAGGTCGAGCACGAGATTGCTCCCTTAACAGGTTCATTACATGCGTCGTAAACTCGTGGCATGCCTAGAGAAATTATGTTTGTGTTAAAAAAAGTTAAAAAATTATGTTTGTGTTCAATGTGAATATAAATGGTACAGTGATTAGCGCAGGTGCGTTTCACCACAAATACAGTTGCCTGATTATAATTTCAATCTCATGTAAGAAGAGAACTTCCAGTTTGACTCTACCAAATCCCATAAGACTGTCAGTTCAGTTAACTGGTTCCCTACTGTAATAACACTGAAGAAATAAGAGACAAACTTTACTCAGGACTTCCAGGAAGAACTAAAACTAATAGAGTTATCCCAGTATGAATGCAATAAGTTTTGCCTGGCTAACGTTTTGTAAACAACATGAAAAAATGTCGTAACATATAATTCTTTCCAACTTTACATCAACCCACCTGTTCATATTTTTCCAACTCGGTATGATAGATCTGTCGTATTTGAGCAAGTTTTGCTCGGTATTCCGAGTGTTCTATCTGGTTGTCATGGACACCTGCAGCGGCTGCGGCCGCAGCAGCACTTCCTCCGCCCTTCTCTGGTCCAGCCACGCCCTCAGCCAAGAGCATGTTATCGAGTCTCATGAGTTGTGGGTCAGGGGGCTCTTCCTCTTGAGCACCACGTATGCTTAGCACTGAAAAAAATTTTACCCAATGTGAAAATTTTGTAATATTTGTTTATATGATCAGCTTGGCTTAGGTATTTGGGGGGGGGGGG